TGATACCCCTCCGTTCCCCCCTGAAAACCGTGTGACCACCCCCTAAAATCCTCCAACCCTCCCACCCCCCCCCCCCGTGACGATAATTAAAGATTGGTCCCTTGAGTGCATGCATGTTGGCATGTTGGTCGCCGATTGGTCCATTAGAGATTAACACTTTACACCTTCTAGTACTACTTTATTTATTTGTTTTTTTCTTTGTAGGAAGGGGGTAGGGCGGAATTACAGTTTAAAGCTACCAGATGTCAGTTTGGCATGAAACTAAATAAACGTTTTCGTTAATTGACGACGTGAGGCAGATGATTGACTGATAAGCTGGGAATAAATTAACTTGTGCAATGACTTCTTATTTTAAATATTCTTTTCAAGGTTTCCAGAAGGCAACGTTTTGTTCGTTGAACATAAAACCGCTTTGCTGTTATATTTAAACAACCTTGAGGATCGAAAAATATCATCGAGAATACCATCTGGCCTCGAGGGTAAGTGCAACATTAAAGCTAGTTTGTTGGTAAAGTAGCACTGTGCACACAACAAAATAATTGCATTTAAAGCTAGCTATCTCTCGGTTGAATGTGGCTGTACAAACTAAAACACCACCATGTCTTGTGTCGTAGTCACCAATATAATACTGAAATCGCTCTGACGAAGGGCTAACGCTCGATACGTCAGCTTTTTTACCCTTTGGCTAATTTACGTTTTCAACCCAGTTGTTAACACTAAATTACCCGCTAATACTGAAAGCTTTTAGATGATGTTCAAAACGGAATCTGTTGAAAAAACAAAAGTGCTTTTAGGGTGAAACTAGTTAGGCCGCTCTCTAAAACAATTTTTTCGAAAATTAGTTAAGATGATAAAAAACTCTCCAATATTTTATTAATAATTCATCAATGCTCTGAACAGCAACATCCGGGTGCTGCATTGACCAAACAAACAGGAGAAAGTTGCTTTCACAATCGAACTAAATTTACATAAAAAAGAATCAAATGAGTTTTGTCTTAAATTGTAGGTTCTCTAAGAAAACTCTCTGTCATCATGAATGCGACATTAACTGCAATTTCAGTCTTTGCTGAACAGTTAAGAAACCGACCAACGAACATTCAAGTCACAGAATCGTTTTTCTTGTTGCTGATCAACTTAGTCTCCTTCTTTGGGAACCTACTGCTCGGGATAGTGGTCATTAAAAACCCGACTCTTCGCCGAACGGTTCCTAGTATGTACATCATAACTCTGGCCCTTTCAGACTTTTTGAACTCTTGTCTGGGAATCTCATTTTCAATTGCTTCTCTAATTGTTGGAAGATGGCCGTTCAATGACTTCGTCTGTCAGCTGCAAGGTTTCTGGATTCTTCTCTTGTCAGCGGTGTCATTACAAACTTTGGCCGTCACTGCTGTAAACAGATGTTTCCGAGTGGTCCGCTCCCGTACCTTGCATCAGAAACTCTTTAACAAGAAGACAACAAAACTGACAATCGCTGTTCTATGGATCCTGGCTCTGTTTGCTCCTCTTCCATATGTTGCTGCTGGTCATAAATTTTTCTTTCACACTGGAAAAGTTTTCTGTGCGCACGATTTTGAAAGTTTGCATAGAGGGTATGGAGCTTATTTGGTGGTATTTTACGTAGCCATTCCTTTGATAATCATCGTGGTTTGTTACACCAAAGTATTTATAACGGTTCGGAAGCATAACCTAAACTTCCGTTCAAGACTTCGCTCCGTCAGACATGAAGCCGCAAATTTATCCCAAAACAGCCGCTTATCAGTGGATGAAGTAAACGTTACATATATTCTCTTAGCCATTGTTGTAGGTTTTCTCACTTGCTGGATCCCTGTTTTAGTAATAGATCTCATCGACTTTGTGAACGCAGAGTGGAAACTTAAAAGACAAGTGTATGTAAGTTATACTTGTTTCGGTTGGGCCAGTACTGCACTTAACCCCATCATATATGGCATCATGAATCGTACCTTCCGCGCAGAGTGCCTGAGAATATTTACGCCCTTGAAGATGTGGACACTGAAAAGAAACATCGTTGGCGAAGATAATAATGGCAAAGACGGAGTAAAAACCAACATGCCAGGTCGCACTTGCACAAAAAGAAAATTCAGCCAAGAGTTTGAAATGGACGAAAGGAAACCTGAATAGATGTCAGAAAGATTGTCATTGTAAGAATTCTCGAGCATTTTGACCCATGGAGATTTGAGCATGATTAATTAACGTGACACTAGAACTGATGGTCGCTTTGGAATATCTCTTCCGGTGAGCCAGCCTACCCCCTCCCCCTTAGGGGCGTATGAGTTCAAAGTAAGAAAAAAAAAAAGTGGCCTCGGGTCGGAGCCACCATCTTGAAAACCAGGAGATCCCTAAGGACAAATTTCCACTGGAACAATTCAACGTTAGTATGTATTAGTTCATGCCTTTCTTCAGAACTTTGCCTTTTCAAAATGATTTAAGTCCATGGAAATGCAATATTGAGGGAAGTATGAAAATATCATGTTGCATTTCATTGTGGGCATCTAAAAGAACTTTCCAGAGTAAACAGTTAACCTCTTAAAATAAAAAAGTTTTGCGTTATGTATTTTCATCATGACCGTCAATTTTAGCACGTTAATGTGTAGATGCTGTTATGAGTAATTGTTGTTGTAAATATAGGCTAGAAATCTCCAGACTGCTTAGTCGTGCTGACATGTGTATCATAGAACTTTCTAGAACATTTTATCAAGTCACGCAGTTATTAAGTAATTCTACCAAAATAGTTATTTTGTAAGCTTCTGGAATGTTCCAGAAAACTTTGTGAATGTATATAAGGACTCGATTATGTAGTAGTAGTAGTTGCTGTTGTCGGGAGTGACCGACTGTTTTGTAAGCTAGACAGTGAGAGAGAGCAACAGTGGAAGATTGGTAATTTCAAGAAACGTTGGAGGAAACTGCGAGTTTGGGTCAAAGGTGAACTAAGATATAGACTGTAGAGGGCTAAAGTAGGTTTATCGAGCGGCCTTTAGGAGTCGCTCCTCATTAAGAATATTACTCGTTGTTTAATAAAGTATTCGAGTTTTTAGGATTAAAGTGTTTTTCTGTCGGTTAGGTTACACCGTAACAATGCAATTGAAGTATAACGTTCGGCCAAACGAGGCCATTGGTCAGTCTGTGACTTGAGTTCACAAATTCTTAACCACAGGCTTTACCATAGTTTCTCAGATGTCTTTCAGATATCTCGGTGAGGCTCTATTCTTCGATTTAGCAGAAACAATAATTTTGCCTATGAAGCGGTGGTCACATACACACGCACATATATCTGAGTGGATTCACCAAAACGTACCCAAGATCACAACAAACTCAAGGTCCTTTCCCAAGCATCCACCTTTAAAGACCCTGATGACTAAATGCTCAATATGGTTGTTAAAACTCAAGTGCCTATTTAAAAGAATCAGATTCCGTCAAAGGATAAGATTACATTCCCCTCCCGCCTTATCCTTCGGTATGAGCCATAAATTTCATATTCAGTTTTGCTCATATTCAGGAAAAGGTTTTGATCGTTTTTCGGCTAGTAGTTAACCCCATTGAGATCCTTATCGACCTCACTAGCTAAGCTGCCGCAAGACATGAACCTCACAGTGAGTAATGGGAGACCGTCAAAAACAACAACAAACTGAAGAGACCTTCCCTAAGATGTCTACTTTTATCCAAAAAGCGAACCACCTTGACTGATAAGTCCAAAACCTTTCCTTCCCGCCCTTAAGCTGTTGATATGGAGGCACTTGCAGCGCAGCCTTGAATCGGCCAGTTGCTGAGCTGCATGCACTTGCTAGCCTTAACGTTTAGGTGATGCCCGCCTTAAAGCGAAAACCTAGCCGTCAGTAGGGCCCCTCTAAAATCCGATACTTTTGCTCCTCAACCTCCCTCCAGCTATTAAGTCTTAGCTCACAGAATGAACAGTGGTAGGGCATGACCCTGACGGCTAGTCAGGCAAAACAATGCGTTTTCAAAATATAAGCAAAGAAGCCTCATTTAACCTACGGACACACTGCAATGGGCTGAGGAGTCCAAACCTTATCCTCCCCACCCCTGAGCTTTGGACACACAGCTACCAGTGACCCATTCCCCAATGGGCCAGTCCCGGAGCTGCGTCCTGGTGTCGGCCTTGACAGTAAACCCCCTTCATTTTCATTGGTCAGGCTAGTGTGAAAGTGGGCGATGTTCACCTTCAAGCGAAAACCTCACCCGAAGCTTTCTACAGCCCCTCCTAAGCCTGCTTCTTGGGCCTTTCAACTACCCCCAACCACAGGGTGTTCACCCACCACTAGAGCTGTAGCAGGGCATGAACCTGAATGTAAATTTTGCAACACAGCGGGCATGTTTTTGCAAATCCAAGTGACGTGAGCACTCTCTAATTCCTAAAAAGACCTCATTTTCTAACTGGGAGTGTTTTCCGTTCACACCAGAACCAAAGGCGGGTGTGTTTCAAATTTGTCTCTCCTAAGCAATATTTGCGAAAAGCTGCACGTATGCTGGATTTCGTGTAGATCAGTGTGGATGGTTAACCCAATTGTGAATTTGAGAGCAATTTTTGCAGTAATGAACGCTACTTAAGCAGTAGTGGAAATTAGGCCTAAACTGAAAAAATTCAGGCCTGAACGGGATTTGAACCCACGACCTCTGTGATACTAGTGCAGCGCTCTACCAACTGAGCTAACAAACCGACTGGGAGCTGGTCATGATGTTGGTTCGTAATAGACTCGTTCGTAAATAACCTTATTGAAGAAGAAAAGAAGTGTTTTCAAATCACCCTCTGTAAAATAGACGGGGCGCCTTTTTTCAGCTGACAGTTTTCTTTCTTCTCTTTCTTTAATTTTTTTTCTTTTGAGCGAAGCCTAAGATTAAGACATCACTACTTCAGTATAGTTTATAGGATTATTCCTTTCTATTTCAACGTTGAGATTTAAATCCATACTAAAACCCAAAACATACATTTTATTTGGATGGGTAGCTTTTCCGCTCCACACTACCAAAGCAAATACGATATCACAATCAAAACAAAGAGTTGTTAATTACAGTATTTTGACAAATGCTTTCTATATTTTTAAATCACCACTTCCTTATGAGTAGCAATTAAATATCGATTTGAAATAAGTCCTTGTGGCGGTACACAACGCCAGAGATTTCTTTAGACAACGGCTAAAAAGGAAGGTTGGTATGACATGTTCACACCCTAGTTGCCACCAGTACAGTTGATTGACCTATTTCAAAATGGCGGGCATGATCATTTACCGATGAACTAATGACCAACAGTGATGTACATACACGCCAGCCGAATCCAGTTATCTGTCGTTAGCATTTGTCGCTAGTGTTCTATCTAATATGTAACTGATATAATTGGCTACGCTTTCGGTATCTAATCAAGAAATTGATTCTATGTTGCCGCGAGTCTGCTCTGTGATACCTGTTCCACGCTTCTAGTTGGTAAAACAGAACGAAATAATAACCAAAGCGAATACTAGCGACAGAGCAAAAACGTGAGAGGTTTGGGTCGGGTGCGTACAAAACACCTCTCATCACGCGACCCAACCCAATCCTCTCTCGTTTTTTCACTCCACCTCCGCTACCGCGCTTCGTTTGAAATGCAGTATCACTGATGTTCTTACCACATTTAGACGCCTTCTGTGCTCTTTTAATGTACAGATGCATGTAAACATGGAGTCTATTTGTTAAATATAGAGCGAGAGCGTAACCAGTCATAAATGTTACTATATAATAAAGAAAAATTCATGGTGAAGTCTCCTACATGTCTTTCCTCTAGCAGACCATAAGTAAAAGTCCATAATAATGCATCAAGCATTCAGCTTGTATAATCCTTGATTGATAATGAGTACAGCATCTTTGCCCTTTGATCTTACTTGTCTTGCTGTTTACCCTTAAACTCCCATGAGTGACCAAGACAGAATTTCTCCTTACAATATCAATACAGTATCAACCAGACAAGTGATGAGAATGGTGATACTAAATTCCCTGAACTAACATTTCAAGAATTGTATGGTTGACAGTAAGGAGAATTAAGAATTTGAACTGGGAGTTAAAGAGTTAAAAAATTGGTCAAATTCATCTCGTTTTACATCAACAAAGAGGATGAAAATATCATCGAATTCAAGTTTCAAACTTTATGCTAGCGGGACCACTGAAGTAATCAGTTTTTCAAACTGGAAAATACTTCATGCGAAATACTAGTTTACATAGAATAAAACTATTTACAGTTGTTTATTACTTTCTTTCCTTTTCTTTTCTTTTTCTTCAAGTGCAAACCTATCTCGTAACTCTCGAGTAGTCACTTTTGCTAACCTTCTATAACAATTTCAAATCCACAAGACTGAAGAAATCAGTACCTTCTGGTTAAACGAAGAGGTGCCCGACTTAAAATTCTGGTTATGGCAAAAAAAAATTAAACCATACAAAAAAAATCAACATTGATAAAAGAAAACCACATCTGCTACAGGTCACTACTAATTAAGGTAAAAAAAGCCAAAGTACTTTTTTCGACCATCAGATTTGGGTGGTACTTAAAATATGCATAACTCTTCCAATGTCTCTTACATATAGAGGCTTAATCAATCAATCTTCTTTACCATAAAACCTCGTTTCCAGGGCCTATCTTCTATCCATTTCCTGGAGTAAGAGAGACAGTGGGGGGAAGGACTGGTGAACCTGGAAACGAGGTTGCTTCACATTTTAACACTCAGGGAGGTTGTGCGTAGAGAGGCACTGTTGGTGATCGATACATCAAAAAAAATCAGTGACATTATATGAGATAAAGCTGCAAAAGGCCTCTGAACCTCAAAATCATAAGAACTAAATAACTGAAATTTAGCAAGCGCTGAAAACGCAAAACATTGGAAGGATTGCTCTTACGTCAGGTATTTTCTAGAGTAGCCTTCTGATAACAGAATGAAAATGAATATAAAACAAGAAGTGCTTTATGCTATAAAATCTGTACAAATGCGAAATAACAGCAGTCGGTGTTTGTGTCACGTCGGTAAACCCAGTCGGCACTATTCTGTTCCTCACGACGACGCCATCGGATTACGGCGGAGCATCCGAGCATGGTTCTCGCCTTCACGATAGCAAATCAAAGAGTGATGGAGGCACCAGACATAGGAAGACTCTAAACGACTGATATAAGTCTCTTTATCCAAATGTGTGCGGTTACCTTTCTCTAAGAAGAGCTTCAACTGACGCAAGGCGGCTTCTACTGCTTCTAAGGCCATTCTGGTGAGTCTGTGATCTAAACTGCGGCGTGACTCGTGGATGGAGCGTTGGGGTCTCTATGTCTAACTGAGTGGTAACGATGTTTCTCTATGACTTCCAGAAGCCATTTCTTTGTCACAGGTTGTTGAATGCTTTTGCATACGCCTGAAATTAAGCCGGGAAATAAAAAATCCTTCATTCCATTTTTATTTCACTTGTGAACTCCTAAGATCTAATAAGTAATTCTCTTTACTCACAGTTAGACATTTTCTCGTACGTCAGTTTAGAGAATTTAACACTCCAAGAGAAACGCTGTTCTATTCTTATCAATTGATTGCTGATAAGTTACATTTTGATCACCGCTGAGACTTTAAGGTTTAGGAAAAAAAAATTCTATAAATGAAAGCATCCAAAAGGTAAGAAAGAGTTGGAATTACTATTGAAGCGAGCGCTCTGTTTTATTTTTCTCTCCAAAACATGCAGCTTAGAACTGAAATAAAATCACAAAACAACCAAAACACATCACGCCTCCTTACTCATAGCTGTCTTGAAACCATTTGGGAAACTTTTATCTTCCCTGACTCTGAGAAATTTCCACTGGTTGTTCTTGGCATCCCAAGTGCATTCCACCACTCTCTTGTCGAGGCTTTTGAGTTCTTTCGTAACCTGAGGGGAAAAAATTAAGAAAGGCAATGCATACGGAACAGAGGAGCTATTTGATTGTGACGGTCCACTCCCATTCGTAATTCTAAAAGAGGGCAATTTTCAATTGACTGTCAAAAGTAATCCGTGATTTCATTGGTTTGCTTTACTTTGCTCAGTGATTGGTCTAGAAAAACTCGCGTCAATCTCTCAACAAATCAGATACAAAACTAAAACCAACCACGACTTGGTCGCCCGCGTTTTCCCGCGCTTTAGGCAGTTTGCTTGTTTCTGTTTTGAGTTCTCGTCGGCTCTTCAGGGTTATGTATTTTCCTTTCATTTGATTGGCCTTTGTAATTAATTTGGTTTCGGTTTTGGTCTTACAACAGTCAATCGAAAAGGGCTCTATCTGCACAAACCTTGATTTGGGAAAATGGTCGATCACAACCACCGACCATGAGAGCACCAACTAATTCAGGAATGCACCTTAAGGAGAAGAGGAAAGACTAGGATCAATATCAGTATCTGGGCAACTGCCCACCTACCCCTACCCTAACTCAATAACGGTCAATTGATAGCAAGTAAATTGATAGCAAGTAAAGGTTAATGTTGGGTTAGGGGAGGGGTAGGTGGGCAGTTGCCCAGATACTGATATTGATCTAAAGATTATTCATTTAACACAATTACTCATCGCTTAACCCTTCGACCCCTGAGAGTGATTAGCATCTACTTTCTCCTTACAATATCACCCCTGAATCACACGTTAAGGTCATGAGAATAAAGAAAATGGTCACCGACTAAAGCAGCCTTTGATTGTAAAATAAATTCTCCTTGTCAGCACCTTAAGTAACGTATAGAGAACAGTATGGAGAATATTTACACTGATTTCAAGGTGTAAAGGGTAAAAAGAAATTTGTCAAAAATTCGTTTTCCACTTTTTATCGAGCGGAATGGGGATGGATGTGAAGAATGTGTTTCTTTGCCTTTAGGCCGCCATTTAACAGAACGGCCTGGTTAGAGCAGTATTGGTTTTGTATCAGTGCAGATCAAACAAACAAACAAACCCTTCTTGTCGAACAGTTCTTATATTAAGAACGAAGTCCACGGAGTTTAGCGTGTGTGGTTTCCATTTCAATAACTCAGAGCTCTGTCCGGCCTCATACGGCTGAAACAGAAAGCAATGGCAAGATTTTCGAAGAAATTCATTTCAATAGTGTAAGCAATCCGGAAATACCTTAGTTTTTCTATTCTACGCTTTAAAATTGGTCTAAATAGCTAACGCCCGCTTTCAAACAATCAGATAGTGATCTAAATCCAATCCCATCTTTATTACTCACGTTTTCCCGCGTCTACAGCCGCAACCTTCAGTCTCTTTCGTACCCAGACCTTTTGATTCGGACGAGTTAACCAAAGAGGCGTCACGGCTTCCTTCCATCAAATATTTTTCACTATTTAAGTTAACTCACCTCCTCGGCGGGGTTGAAGATCAGTCCATCATTCTCGTGGCTAAGTTTAGGACTCCAGTTTTCTAACACCTACGAACAAAAAGGTAAAACAAGCTTAAGAATGCGAAGGTGCAACTCTAAATCTCTCCTTCCATTCGATGCTAATTGCTTTCAGAAGAAGCGAAATGATGACGTTAAGAGTAATCTGTTATACTCTCTCAAGAGTTTTGCGAGGTAGAGAGGCAGGATCCTCTCAGATTCACCCTCAGTTGTGACGAAGAATGACTACAGAAGGACACAATACTGAGGAAGTAGAGTGTGAAGTAACCACTTAGAAGAAGGAATTTTTTTCAACAAAAATAAAAATTAAATTTGTTCATTTCTATGTTGACTGTAGACTCGAAAAGACCTACCCACTCTGCTTTCTCTACTGGAAAGAACTTTTTCGCTCTGATGCTAAACGGCTCCTTTGACTTGTCCAAGAGTCCTTGTTGAGCCTGCAATAAAGCGTAATGAAACGTTACAAAACGCATTGCATGTTTGCCTGTTGGCAAAATCAGTTCGGTGATCTGACGGGAAATAACGAGGCAACAATAAAATTGGACAAAGGAAAAGAGAAATTGGAGGTAATGCTTTTCTGTTCTCGGGTAAGGAAATGTTAAAGATACAGTCTGATAGACGGACAGAGAAAAAGAGAGACAGATAGACAGATGAGTAGAAAGACAGACAGACAGATAGACCGAAAGTCAGATAAACTTGGCCTCGTCGAAGCGTCGATTCGCTCAGACGAAGGGCGAAACGCTCGAAACGTCAGGTTTAGAATCTCTTTACGGTGGCCAATTCACATTATCAACCCAATTGATAAAGCCAAATTATTTTACAACACCCCCCCCCCGACGCAGCACCGCAGTTTTTTTTTTTTTAAAGTTTCCCTCTTTATTCAGACAGACTGACTGATAAATACGTAAGTACTTACAGCTTGGTTTCGAGCCATTTCTATTTCTTTTTCAATACAAATCATTCTGATGTCGTGGCTTTGTTTTCCGACTTCTTGCCCCTACAAACACAAGAGTCATAAACTGATTTACAAACAATCCACAGTAAGGGGCATTTTTCGTAAGAATAGAGAAAGAATGTGTTAGAAAACAGAAAGAGGGACGTGAGGAAAGAGTTAGTTCTTCGACGGGTACGATTTCATGCTTCCCAGATAACGGTTAGCTGCGGCTACCAAATGAGTCGTATAGCCATATTTTAGGAGCAAGTAAGAAACAACCCTGTTAATTGTACTTACATGACAATTGGGCCCCCACAGGTAAACTTCAACAAAAGCAAATACAGAGTGCAGAGTCTTACTTCGATGAGTCCAGAACTGTGTCTAACAACTAAGCTACACAGCCTCGATTTGGGAAGGAGGTACATACAACCCAATGACTGCGACCTCTGTGTGAGGTTTGAGTACTTCATAAGCATTCGAATGGGCCAATCATAAAAGAACCGTTTTCACTGATTAACCAACTACATAACGATGAACTTACTTGGAATCTGACGATATCGTAGGCCAGATATCGAGGGTGAACCTTTTCATTTTCCTTGTCAAGAACCATCTCCTACAAAATAGAACATAAAAACTCAAAATTTTCGTTTCAGAGACTGCTTTGCAATCGTAAGGAAAATCTCAGACGATGCGGGTACCACTATTGGCCCACCGCACCGGACTTCGCCTATATATCGGAAAATTTCCACTCGCTAGTGAAATAAATTCTTGCGATTTGGTAGAACTGTCTAGGACCGAGCGAGTAGAATCGGTAACGAATTTAGAGTAATACCACTTTGCGTCGCTGACGTCAAGATTTGAAAATGCTTGGAAATTTTGCCACTTTTTTTTCAATCCGAGTCAATCTTTTCCATCCTTGACCTTCCTGGTCACATCTTGGTCCATTCTTCTCATATAATTTTTTTTTCTTTCTAACCCAACTGATATTTTGCCTTTCCTCCCCTGACTCTGTGTGTTATAGGAAAACGACTAAAAACAACTACGAAACGTTCGCAGTGAAGCTTAAGTTAAGTATGTAATGCTGCGTTCTCTTACCCCATCAATCAGAGTGTCAAAAATATGCTTTCTAAGGTTTTTACGCTGAGGGAAATGGAACTGTGGTGCAGCAAACACATTATTGTCTCTGTCTATTAAGTATATTTCCCTTTCTTTTAAAATCAGCATCATGTATCTGAAAAGAAAAGAATAAATGGAGCGACTGATTAGTAGACTGACTGGGCCTGTGGAAAGCCTGCAGTGCACTTGAAGCGTTTTATTAGGGCGAGTTAACGAATGTTATCTGACCGGCCATGTTTGATTCATAGTTAGAGTCGACAGTTGGGGGAGGGGGCACGGAAAGGCGCGATTTCTACTGCCCCACCCACTCCCCCCTCCTTCCTTTAGACCGTCGCTCACTTTTTCGGCACAAATGTCTTTATCTCAGCAACCCTCTGCTGCTCCAAAAATCAAAGATGGCAGGAATAATTTTCACCGAGAAAATACTGAGCTTTCGGCGTTTACTGAAAGTCTCGAATGCTCTGCAGGCTAGCGGATGATGAACAGACAGTTGAGCATAGTGAATGGCCAGAGGTAAAGTCAAGATAGAGGCTTTATGGCCCAGAACACTGGACGTTAACATATTTTCCGCAGAACAGACGTAATTTTTTGGCGTCTTTCAGGTCATCGGCGTTGAACGCGAGAAGAGCGCTCGGAACGAGACACACGGCGCGGGTCTCACGCTTGATTCAACTCGCCTGAGACACGCAAAAATTAACATAGAAAAAAAATCATGTCTCGCAAGAAGTATAAGAAATCCGAACTGGTGAACTTGCAGTTCCTTTAGGACGAATCTAAACAGGCTTTCAATAATAATCACCTCACGCCATCTGCTTTCCAACTGACTCTGTAAGGTTTTTCGTGAAGTAATTTAATATTCTGGACATCCATGGACACTGGTTGACTTCCTGGGAACCCCCCACTAAAATAAAGGGAACAAACAAACAAAAAATGCAAGAACTGTTTAAGCATCGAGTATTCATTTGTCTCTTGCTCAACAAACAAAACGCAGCAAATCCGAACTTATAAGAAAGTTAATTTTTTTAATACGACCACAAGAACAGTTTCACCCTTTTCAAATTAACATCAGCGTGCATAATTTCTATACCATGTATTTCCTACAGTACTGACAAGAAGAATTTGTTTAACAGTAATAAACTCTTTCCTTCGACCTCACAGCTATCATTCCTTTTATCATCAAGTTTAGCAAAATTCTTCTCTGCATATTTTTCCCTCAGCTTTTCATATTTCTCACCTTTCCCAAGCGCACATTTTTTCACATATTTCTTGGATATCTTCTCTTCTGGGTGAATTCACAACCTCAATCCCCTCAACCTCATCCATAAATTTTGCTTCCTGTAAACACAAATCATGGATTTAATTTGTTAAACGACATTTGTAGTAATTCCCTCAATATTTTAGCAACAACAACAATAATGACTGTGATGATGATGATGATGATGACAAAGAGACAAGACTTCAAAGAAAAATTGACCTTCAATCTTGGATCCCTTCGCATCTTTTTCCTTCTCCCATCAGAGTGACTTCCATCTTCCACAGTCCTCCCATTTTCCTCCTCATTGTCACTAAGTCCTTCCTCCTCGTCATAACACCAATCAGGAAGCTCAGGTGCAGCAATGGATTCATTTGAGTCACTGTACCGCTTAACTAAGTCTTGCAAATAATGTGCTTTGTAAATTCCTGGAGGCCGACACTGCACAAATTAATGAAAGAAAAACAAACAAAAAAATAAGATTATTGATGCCAATTTCAATATTTTTTTTATCATGTATCATCTGCTACAGTCCTTCAGCAAAATCTGTTAAGGAAATCTATATTAAACCCATACAAAAAAAACTTAGTATCAATTTTAACTCTAAAAGCTTATTTTCCCCCTTCCCTTAATGTAATGTTGCTTGAGATCTTATGCAATTAAATGTAAAACACCTAACCAACAGAAAGAATGCAGCACTGATTGACAGGAGAGGGGTAGGTAGGGGAATGTCTTGTCTTGAAATGGGCAAGCACAAATTGACATGATGGTTGAAAAACTATCTCAAGAGCTTTGTCAAAGATTTTAACTTTTAATTACTAGTAAAATATCTATTAGGTGATTTAATTACTGAATTCAACCACAAACCTGGGCAAAACAGTGAATAGCTGCCTCAATACTGTGAAAACACAGAAAAAAATATGTAGTTAGTCCAAAGTATTAACCCTTTGACTCCCAGAAGTGATTAACATGTAACTTCTCACTACACTGTCTATGCATCATCCAGCAAAAAAGTAATAATAATACTCAAATTTATCAAATAGAGGTTGTTATCTTGATCTGATGCCAAATTCTCCTAACTAATTTAAAAGAATATGTGTAACAGTAAGAGGGGAGAAAAAACAATCAAATCTTGGGAGTTTAAGGGTTGAAATTGCATTGACTACATGTACCCATAGATTTAGGTGATTGGTCTGGTGGAAACTCTCAGTCCCATGACTGACCATGGAATTAATCAATGACATGAATAACGAAATGTTTAAAGAAGTTTTATCAAACCAGTCTGGTGTCAGAAAATATTTTTATGGCTCAATTACCTCCAGTCATCTTTTTCTACAAGATATGCAATGATTAAGAAGCCAGTTCTGTTGAAGCCATGAGTACAGTGAACACCTGAAATGTGAAATTTTAGTGAGATAATTTGGTAAATTATAAACTGAATTGATAACATAAATTGGCCACCTTAAAAAGTTTCATAGCTGACATTTAAAGCACTAGTCCTTTATCAGAGGGAATGACAAGGAACTTAATCTGACAAAGGGTAAATGCTCGAAATGTCAGCTTTGAAACTCTTTCCGTGGCCAATTTATATTATCAACTCATTTCACAATTATACCTCCCCACTGACTCAGCACAACTCACAGTTTCATTAGAAACTTACTACCAATATTATATTTGGAGTTTTAGGTGAGTCTGAACATGGGTTGTGTGGGTCATTCTACAGGAGCTTATAAATCTGTTTTTTTTTTTGCAATTATGTATATGGCTAGTTTGGTTGACAATAGTTCTTTTTTTTGATTTAGTATCAGCTAAAATCAAGCAAATCAACTGCTACTGCTCATTATTCCATAAATACACTAAGTAATGTAATGTGTGTGTAACATAGTAACCTTTTTTTCTGATATATAATTTTTCTGTTGTCAACTTGTCAAAAGTTCTCCCTTTTACCCAACAGTGTAACACAAAGGAAACTTTTTGCATTGTGAAAAAGAGACATGTCAGATGTGCATTGTTAATACACCCAAGTATTTGTGTATGTGCAGATGAAATTTGAGTTTGTGGGGTATTTGATAGCAGTACTGTTTATAGCTAGTTCCTTCTGGTACAAAGCCAGTCCATTCAGGTTATATCTAACCACTTTTCCATGACAAAACATTTTGCATATATTTTGACAATTAGTTCTCCCTTTATTCAACACTTTTATTTTTTAATCATTTATTTGACTATCAGGGCTTCACACACATTATCACACACATTATAATATAATCTAAGCAACAGAAAAACACCATAATCCTACAAATTCAACAATTTTATTAAACAGTGAGTAACATTCTTAGCAAGGAGTAACTCCTAAAAAAAGTAAAATACTTATCATTAATAAACTTAATTAAGCCCACCACAGTCTATATCCTAACTAACCACTGACACAATCTCATTGCTGTCTCTAAAGTTCCTTGAAATAAGTGATCTTCTGCAGAAACTCTCTCTCTTTATAGAGCTCTCAAAACAGTCATCACTCCAACAACAATGACTCCTACTACTATAAAAGCTAGTCTTTAAATATATTCACAATGAGTTCTGAAACATTCCAGAAGCTTACTTAAGAGCTATTTTAGAAGTATTATGTATTAAGTGCATGACTTGATGAAATGTTCTGGAAAGTTTGTTTACTATGATATGCATGTCAGCATAACTATGCAGTCTGGAGATTTCTAGAAGCTCATATTTACAAAAACAATTACTCATAACAATAATGGTAAAGGAAAAGGTTAAATCTAGCTATTGCCTGCTCTGGGAGTTGGAAAACCATGAATGAGATAATCATTAACTGAGCACTAAAGAACAAAATGATCCACAAACCTATTAATTCCCCTGGGTTTTGATCAAAGTAACGATCACACATTCTAATAAATAAAGCAACTTGCTCTGGCGAGGGTGTCTCCTTATGCCTACAAAGTAATCAACACACATTACATGCAAGTAGATAACATTCTAAAAATCAAGTGAATCAATTTCAACAAACAAAAGATGGAACAAACCCTTTCAACTGCATCTTGATATGTTTGATTCCTGTCCGTTCCACTACTGTTTTGTCATAAAAACGATTTGTGTTTGTCAAGTCAATGATCAATCCTAACCTCATCTGGAGAAAAAAAAAAGAAAAATCTTATGGTATTGTTTGGGTTTATGAACATTACAGAGTTTATGCATGATATTTACAGCAATGGCAAACGGCAAAATTAACTCTTTATTTCCACCTTTTCTCTAGTCCTCAAATAAACTCTAAAGAGAGCTAGAAAAAAAATTCTCACATATCATCAGTTTGATGTATTAAAGGCTAAGAGAAGACAACAGGAAGTTCAATTTTGGCTATCTGCAGTTTGATGTAAATTCATTCCCAACTTTTATATTTGATAAATATTTATCATATAATCAAGATGTTGAAATACTTAACCCTATAACTCCCGAGATCTGATTGTTAATTCTCCTCTGTAGCTGCTACACATTTCCTTTTAAATTAGTTATGAGAACATGGTGCTAGATCAAGATAGTAGCTTCTACCTGATAGGTTTGAATATTCTCATTACCCGTTTGCTGAAGAATGTATGGATATTGTAGGGAGAAGTTTTGGGTTAATCACTTCTGGGAGTTAGAGGGTTAAAAACAGATCTACAACCACCTTATTTAAATCATTTGATATCATAAACTCTGATTTCCTTAGCCTCGTAAATACTAGAGTTGAGGGATGCAAGGAGAGAGGGACAGGAGTGTGGGGAAAGGGAGTGGGATGGGTATGGGAGATGGAAGAGAAAGTAGCATTCATATGGACACAAGATGGGACAGAGGTGCAGTAACAGAAATGTTTAGTAACTGTCAATTACCAGTGTCTTGCAACAGAGAATAGTCATAGCAAAATGTGGTAAATGTGTACGACGTAAAATGAAGGGGTGGCAAGAGCTCTTAGTGCCCTGATACTCTTACCCCCCCCCCCCCCCCTCTTCCTCTACCATCACCCTGTTCCCTGACCTTCCCAACCAACATAGTAAATATCTATCTTGTTGATAACAAGAAAATTCACGTGCACAAACCTGTAGAGACTGGAGATAGGCAAACAACATAGGCAGCTGAAATCTATTTGCCTCTGGAATTTCGTCATCATAGCGCGGCCCCAGTGGTGTTTTAAAGGCAAGAAACTTTTCTGCAAACAAAAGTTCGTCCAAGTGACAATTTTTAAAAGTTTTATCGTAACAAGTTTTAATAAAAATCATCGATGTTGTGTGCATGCACAAGTATATGGGTATAAATTCTCAGTTTCGACCGGAAACGAAATAATCAATCGACGTGTAAATTTGCGAACTCAAAAGAAGAAACTCTTCTTAGATTCCTGTATGTCACCAGGTGCATTTAATAAAATTATTATTTCAGGGAAGGCCTTGAATTGTGAGCTTAAATTATGCAAAGGAAAGCAGAATCGCAACAATTGTATTATCATTGTTAGTAAAAGTGAGGAAGTTCACATTCATGTAATCTACTTTGTAAAATGATTCCTTTCTTGACCTGTCACCTTCTTAGTTACTACTTAAGTTCGTAACGCTAGCCCATGACATCCTCCAATCGAAGATCCTAGTTCCAATTTTTAGTAGAAACCTTAAATCTGTACAGATAACAAGGTTGCCGAACCAGAGCGAGTTCGATTAGTCCAACAAACCTGCGATAATCTGACTTTTTCGGGGACAATTCAGCCATCTCTGTGGAACAGACATTATTGTGAATGGCCCTTACAAGACAAACCCCTTTACATAGAGATTTTAATAGATCATGATTCAACTATCTCTGTCTTCCGGAACACATTCCTTATTTCACTCTGTACGCACAACGGCAACCATGTTTTTTTAGTCTCGTTATGATGCAAAAATCTTTCCCATTCTCCTCGCAAAATCCAGATCGCAGACGTCGAGTTGCTGTGAGGAGTTGCGTTCGATAAAGGAAAACAATACAACCAAAAAAATTTCAAAACAAGCTGATTGAAAATCTTACTTTACTTTCCTCAAAGGAAACAGAAAAGGAAAATTTTGAGCTTCAAATCTGCCATCCAAGCATATCGCAATTAAGATCAGATTTAAATGATCAATGTTAACCAGTGGTTAGCTCTCATGAGTGACCAAGAAGGATTTTTAAATAAATAAAGATATTCATTAGGGGATTATTGGTTGATCCAATACCAAACTCTCTAAACTAACACCATTATGACAAGAATTGTATGGCAGACAGTACAGAGAATCACTAATGAGAACTTTTGAACAAAAAGGGTTAATTTGTAGAGTTTATAGATACTTTCATCTTTCATCAGTAAATAACAAGAAATAAAAAGTACCTGTGCTCTCATTTGCTCCTTCTTAATGTTCATTGGATGTTATTTCATCTAAGCAAAAGCCAAAAGTCAGGAGGGGAGAGAAAAAACTAATCCTTACAAACCAAATATAGATAGTACTCATAATTCTTAATACACTTTTGCTTCCCAAAAGGACCAAACCTCCTTTTCTGAGTACAGTTCCTATTAAACCATCCACAGCCGCTTATAGAGAAAGTTTTTAAAACCCCTGCAAACAACCTCTCACTTAATTCACAATCATCTCTATCTGACCACCCAAATATGTCAGAAGCCTGGGTAAATTTTTTCCTAGCTTAAAATATGAGTTATAAACAGAGTTTTTCTTATATTCCAAGCATCTATAAGTCAGTTTTCAGTTTCTGTTGGCTGTGCATCAAAAAGCAAACAACAAACTTAAAGTGAGCTTTTTCTGATTCCCTTTAAGAAACATTTGATACAGGCTTGAAAGTTGCAGTCTGAGTAAAATATTAATATCCCATATTAATAATATTAATATTTACCAAACTTTCCCACCTGTCAGACAGTATGGAAAAAGTCAATATCATTTTTAAATATCTTTTTTTGACCCATCTGTATCTTTAATTCCCTTGCTTCCCATCATTTACATATACATCAGTTTTTTTTAAATAGTGTACTATTTCCTGGTTACAAATTGATGCAAATTACTTCATGCATTGCAACCCTTTCAATACAACATTTAAAATAATGCATTGAAAATGTAAAAATGGCATGCATCAGTTGTATAATTATTTAAGGAAAAAATGCCTCCAGAAATCAAGAGTACACAAGAAGTTTGAGTTGCTCTTCATTATGTCTTAAATAACCCATATCCATCTTTCATTCTCTCAAAATTTCTTGCGTGCTTCATTGGGGTTGTGGTACACAAAGCTTTCACATCTTGTAAAAGGGAAAAGGCAAACTACGTTCTTGGTAACACAAGCACTAAACAGTTCCAGTCCCAGCAACTCTCCCCTTCTGCTGATAACTGATCATCCATCCTTTCACTACTGGAACCAAGAGACCTCCAAGTAAAATCTGTACTGGATGGTAAATGAGGAGTGGGATAGAAATCAAGGAAAGATATTTATATCCTGAAAAAACAATCTTGAGCATAGGAATTCCCAGTGTGAGAGACTTGTGAGTTGAACAGAACATGATTGCTACTGTGTCTACTGGGGTGAATGGAGAATCTCTCATGGTTGCTAAGGAAAACGTCAACATCAACAGACAGCATTGCAGACAAATTATCAGTACTGCCACCGCTAATATGCTTGTAGAGTCGATCTCGCCACTCTTATGTGAAAATGTGTCACAGAATGTTGTATAGATTATGAGAAGAAGGACACAACTACTGATCGTTCCAAAAGGTGGCTTGGTTTGTTCCATCCAGTCTTTGATGTATCTTCTAAGAAACTGACCAATAAGTAAAGGGAACACAACCGTCATGGACAACTGACCCACAATGGATGCAAAAGGAACCGCAGACGAAGAACCGAGGAACACGAGCAGTAAAAACGGAGTGACGAATATTCCCAGAAAACTACCAAATGCTGAGTTGAAGATCGCAGCCGCTTCGTTTCCACCGACAGCCTTTGTTAGAATCACGGCCGAGGATACAGGCGGAGGCATACAACCCACCACAAGAAGACCTTTCAGAAGCCATTCATTCAAGCTGCTTAACTCTAAAAGCTTCACTAACAGCGAAAAAAAGCCAGGTACAAAAGCCAACGTAAAGCCCTGAACGAAAAGGTGTAATCTAACGTTGCTAAGAGCGCTTTTCAACTCTTCTGACTTCAAGGACAGTCCACTGTTAAAGAAGATGGCTGAAACAGCTATATATTTGACGGTGATTTCTGGTCTAAGGATTCCACCTTTTGCTCCAATAAAAGGGGCAAACTTAGCTAGACAGATAACAACAACGATTCCGATCAAGAACCAATTCTTTTGGAGCTTTGCGAACATTTTTTTTACAGCATTTGAATGTAAACTTCCTTCACTCTCCGCCATGTATTGCCACGTGAACGGAAAGTTTCTACGTGGTGTAATAACACGTTTAAAGTCCCAAGAGCTTCGTGAGAGGCCGACTCCTCTCAGGAAGTCATATCAAATCAAAATGAAGAATTATTTATTCATGGAACACATCTTCCGGATCAAGAAGACCAAGAAGACTACCAAATAAAAAAGGCATCTATTTGAATTTAAATACGTCGAGAAAAAGACATTTTAGAGCATTCTGGAACAGAAAAGGGCCTGATACAGTTTCTTGGTGTTTTTTTTCATATATTTTATTTAATATTGAAGACAATTTAAAAGGTACATCTCAATGGAACAGTGGTTTCCTCTTTCACCTCATTAAGAATGTTAAGGCGAAGGATAAAATATTCTAAGTTGAAATAACTACCTCTACCCCACTCCCCCCCCCACCCCACTACTGAATTAAAAAGAAAGAAAATCTGGAAGAACTGATCCAGAATTGAACAGCGATAGAAGTCGAATATTTATGAAAGATGGAAACGAAATGTCAAATTTCTCTGCAAATCGGAGTGTTTCCATAGGCAACGGCGCAGAGGAAGCCACGTCTCATTTTCTCCCATGTCTCCTTGCAAGTTTAGTACCAACATGGCGACTCTCAATATTTTCTGCTTCTGTATACTAAGTATTTTATCAGCTCCATTTTGCAGCCATGCAGCGAGTTACAAGGGCGGAGAAAAGGTATAAAGTTAGTTTACGTCTCGCAATTTGTGAAGAATCAAATTTTAAAGTAATCTGTGTTTTCAAGGTTCCACTGTATGTAAACAAAGTTGGTCCGTACTTCAACCCACAAGAGACGTATCATTACTATTCCCTGCCAGTCTGTAGACCTGAAAAGGTAACATTTTGAAATTAATTATTGTTTTCCTTTAATATAGAGATCATGGTTTGAGTTACTTTTTCTAATAGATGCCTGTTAAATGCGTACGATCTGAGTAGAACACAGATGAACATATGAAGCGTGATTAAGCGTCGGTAAAGCCATTATGAAGAGTATTATGAAGAGTATAAATTCTAGAGTTATGCGCTGTAGTCTGTTTCTTGTTATTTTAAAGATTTTCTTGTTGTATTTAGGTAGAGCATCGTAGTTTAACGTTGGGAGAAGTTTTAGATGGCGACAGAATGGCTGTTGCCTTACATCAAATCAACTTCAAAGGTACACAATTTTAACTCTATGTGGTAAAAGTGAACGTCAGTTTCTCCACAACCGTCATTCAATTTTGGCAGGAAGTGTGGTCTGTCTCAAATAGCATAATAAATTGGTTGATTCAGTCAAGTTAGGCTAAATTTGCTGCCTTGAAGGCATCGATCTTTATCAGTAAGTGACATCTGGCAAAATGCAAGGGGCAACTTAAGGTGGAAAAGCATACCATTCAGGTGTAGTAAGTGCTTCCTTCACATGGAGGCCTTCCAAGATTTAACATTGCAGATGGGGGCATAATCAGACAGGGTTTGAGCCAGGCCATGCCACTGCGCCAATCCCACACTGCAATTTAAATTGTCCCCTAAAAAAATGGGCAAGGGGACAATTTGTCTCCTTCAAAATTTAGGGAAAAAACTTGAAAGGAAGCACATTTTATTTTGGTACAGAAATTGCGAGCTAAAACAGAATGTGGAAAGTATATTTTATCACACGTTTAAAGTTCATTCTAAAGTCACGTTTCAGTCTCGCTCTACTGCACATGTATGTCTCATGCTCAACCAAGTGTGGTGAACGCACCTGGCAATCTCTACTGCGCTTTTCACAAACATGCGAACTCTAAAGTTCAAAAGCCACAGTCACAATTGTGTTTTTTGCTGCCGTCAATCATAATTACGATCACAAGCAATACACCTTGAAACACAGAAACTCACAAAACAGATTGAAATCATGACCTTTTGAACCTGTTAAAGTTGTTTCCTAATCGGTCCGTTAAGATGATTGACGGCCGCAAAAAACGCAATGTCAAAAATTGTCAAAAATGCAGAATTGAATGGAACTTTGTAAAGAGCTGGTTGTTAGAGAGCATTACCCTATGGGCCACATTGCTGAACTATGGAAAATGCTCGCTACCCATTGTAGCGACGAGGTTCAAGATATATGATCAGATATATTTGCAGCATTTACAAGTCAATATGGCTCCTGTTGGTTTATGCCATGAAAACTTGGCTGAGCTCCAACAGTAACCACCAAGTTTATGGGATTTAACACATTGACCCCAAAAAATGACTAGCATCTAACTTCCTCTCGCAATATCACTCCTAATCAAGCATTAGTTTTATGAGAAAAAAGATGATCACCAACTAAACTGGTTCATGGGTTCAAATCCCGTACAGGCCTGAATTTTTTTCAGGCCTTATTTTCACTACTGCTCAAGTAGTGTACATTACTGCAAGGATCACTTTCATATTCACGTCTTTGTCTACAACCTCAAACATATGACTTTCATATATTCTTAGCCATTTATACATACCGATGTTAGGGTGTAAAGGGTTAACTTTGCTCAAAACTGAGTTTCGTTTTGAATTTCCTCATCTCTAGAGCAAAAAGAAAATGTAAAGCTTTGTACTGTTACACTCAAGGAAAAAGAAGTTCAGCAGTTACAAGAGGCCATTGAAGATTTGTATTACTTTGAATTTGTTTTAGGTGAGGCTGCTTTTCTTTTTTTTAACTTCCTGACAAAGAATTGTAGTTAATCATAGCAGAGAAGAAATCAGTAATGAAATAGATATTGGTTTCATTATTCTTTTCTCCCACAGATGATCTTCCTCTGCGGGGCTTTATTGGTCACTTGGAAGAAGGAGGCTTCTTGCCTCACACTCACAAAGTTTATCTCTGGGCTCATTTGAACTTTAACATAGAATTTAATGGGGATCAGGTAAGCTCATATTTGCACAGAAATCATAAGTGTCAGGTGTCTTGCCTATATAGTGATGAATGTGCATTCAATATTTTTTTTCAGATTATTTCAGCAAATGTAAGTACAGCAAATCATCAACCAGTAGCTCTGGATGACATTGAGTTGCCATACAATGTGGAGTTCACGTACAGTGTCCTGTGGAGCTCAACTGAGTAAGTATTAACTCTTTACACCCTAAGATCAGCATGCATATTCTCCATACTGTTCTCAATACATTTTTTTTGGTGCTGAAAAGGAGAATTTGTTTATTGATCAAAAGCTTCTTTCGTTCATGATCATTTCCTTTATTCTCATAACCTTAATGTGGGATTCAGGAGTAATATTGTAGGGAGAAATTAGATACTAGCTACTCTTAGGATTTAAAGGATTAATAGTGGATTGTGACAAATTCTCTTTGTGGTAAGGGGACATTTCTGCTGTGCTGGTGTGAGAATTTGGTGTCACATTAAGGCAATAATTATAAGTTTTTCTATATCTGCATCACTTTTTTCCTTTCCAATTTATCATTACTTTGATAATGGGAGGAGAAGTTTTACATCATTCAGTACTATTTCACAAAGGGTGAACACTTTCTTTGTTTGACTCAGTGGCCTACTCAGTTTGTGGGTAATTTTCATGGACTGTTCTTTTAGTTTCGTGAACTTTCTTGCAAAAGTTGATTTATTCGTTAAAGAATTTCTGGTTTTGTATTTTGTTGAAAAGCTCTCCATACTCAGAGAGACTGAAAATCAAAGGGGCTGGAAGCTTTTTTCCTAAGAGCCTGGAGGTAAGAGAATAGATCATTGAGAGTTCATCATGTAGTTTTAGATAAAGGAAATGTAGACAGTAAGAGTTGTACCCTGTGTTTATTCATCTTTTCTTACCTCTGTCACAACCTAATTACAAATAATGATCTGCTCATATATAGCCACTGATTGTGTCAGATTACAAAATGATTCTTGGCTGGTTCTACATACACCACAGATCTCAGTTTTCAGGCTTGAGACTGAAAGCTGATGCATAGTGAAGTATGCAATATAAGGGAAATGTTTTTTGATAAGTTTATTATAATCACTTGATTTTCAGATTCACTGGCTGTCAATTATCAACTCTGTAGTGCTGGTCTTCTTGTTGATAGGATTTGTAGTTATCATCCTGGTGAGCAGAACTATGTTGAATTTCTTAGGTTTATAATTACAGTATGGGTAGCAAAAATGACAGGCAAGTTGCAACCCATTGGGTAGCCATGGTGACTTGCAATTGTGTGCCATAAAATACTACAGGGTGGATGTAATGAACTACATGATCATCTTTCAGAGATTTTTTAATCTTATTACTTGACTGTTCTCTTCATTAGATGCGAGTACTCAAGAGTGACTTTGCAAAGTATAATGTATCTGATGATGAAGAAATGGATGACATAGGTGAGAAGCGTATACTGATAATTGATACTCCTGCCTTGATTCTGGATCCCTGATTCTGGATAGATTCAAGTATCAAGGATGGAGTTTCAAGTTGAGATTGTCAACTTACTGGTACTTTTGAGTAGTACTGTACCTACATCCCTGTTTTAGAGTTAAAGATCTTGTACATTTGTTACACATTCACTCTGCTTCTCTTTTGGACCGTGTTTTATTTGATCCTTGGCTTGCATACCTGGTCTTGGATTGTTGTACGACACGGACAGCAAAATGGTGCATTTGTCTTAAAATCTCCATGCAGTTTATCCTTTCTGTATGAGTTGCACAGGACACCAACATGTAGACATGTGCAAATTTAAGGTCAAATACAATGCTAACCCTAAGAGCTATAACTACTTTTGTTACTCTTGGTTAATACTTTTTTCTTTGAAGATTCTCTTTTTGGACTCAATATTATACATGTAGCTACTGTTAGGCTTAAAGATCTTTGAATTAAAAGCTTTTTGGTGTTGACTGTAGTACTTATCATTCAAAAGATCAGGATCTATATTCAAGCAAAACCACAAAATGACAAATAAATTATAAATTAAAGGTTACCATATTAGTGCTGTGCGCAGATAGGTTATTCTTTCAGTGTATTCTTGATACAGTAACAGACTAGAAAATGTTTCTAACAGTTTTTTTTTTAATCAGACAAATGAAAGCTACAGAACTTGAATGGTAGAAATACCTTTATTACATGATCAATAATATTTTCAAGATGTGAACAAGAAAGATAAAATAATGAAAAAGAAAAAGTGTTTAAACTGGTTGAACTTTTTACACCCCAACATCATTATGCATATACTCCATACTGTTATCTATACATTTACTAGATTCTAACAAGGAGAATTTGTTAAACCATCAAGAGCTATGTTGGTTGCTGATCATTTCCTTTATTCTTGTGAGTTAAACATTTGATTTAAGGGATAGATTGTAAAGAGAAATTAACAGGTCAAATCTTTGGTGCAATAGGAGAAGATCACTTTGTTTTAAAAGTGAGTTTATGTTATTCTATTGCAGATCATGATGAAGTGGGTTGGAAGATTATTCATGCGGACGTTTTCCGTTTTCCACCATACAAAAGCTGGCTCTGTGCCATCCTTGGTAAGTTACGTTTCTTGATTCCCTCTCTGAATAGACCAACCTGAGATCTTAACCACTCATTCAAAGTGTGATGAAAGTTACCTAAAGTTTGTGCTGAGTGTGTTCATCCTTATGATGGCCTTCCTGGGCATGTTTAATGTACATATGAAGTGGGGTCATGTACATAACTGAGATGCTTAATTTAGCTTATCTGTTGCCTCTTAGGTGCAGGATCCCAATTCCTCACTCTCTGCTTTGGTATCATATTTTTGGCTTTGTTGGGCTTGTTTAATGTTCACAGGTAGGAGTGATAGCTTTCCCTTTACTTCACTACACACTGTGAATGCACCACCCTCTCAAGAGATATAATAACAAAAGTGAAACCAGTTGTGAATTGGTTATTTTTATCGTGCACACTTAACACTTTAACTCCCATGAGTGACCAAGAGAGAATTTCTCCTTGCAGTGTCAATACAATATCAAGCAGACAAGTTATTAGGGGATCATTAGTTGATCTAATAACAAATTCTCTGAACTAAAATCATAAGAATTCTTTGCCAGACAGTAAGGAGAATTACTTGAGATCTTGGGAGTGAAAGGCATTAAACCTTTAACAACCAGCAGTGATTACCATGTAACTTCTCCCTATATTATCCATACATTATACAGCAAACAGGTAGTGAGAATTCTCAAACTCATCAGGTACAAGTTATTACCTTGATTGAACACCAAATTCTTGCAATCAATTTACAAGGAAATGTGTAGAAGCTAGAGGGGAGAATTGACAATCAGATCTTGGGAGTTAAAGGGTTAACAAAGTTGCCAGTTTGTTCCTTTGAACTCTTACGGTGTCCTTGATATAATTTCTCTGCTCTTGTTGAATGTTATGATGAAATTAGTTGGATGTGCTATTAGGATTTTAAATATTGTATGAAGATGCTTTCTTAAATGCTGAAAATAATGAAATCAGTGATGAACAAATTTGTGATTTGACTTTCAGACATGGATCAATGAACACAGCAGCTGTTTTGTTGTATGCCCTGACCTGCTGTAAGTGTTCTTTCACTTAAAAAGTTTTCTTACATTTTATTTAGTTATACTCACTCACGAGTTAGTCAAATATCAAAGATGGATGCTTGAACTTCACATATTTACTGTACATATGACTTCATACCTTCATACATATGACTTCAAAATATAAAAAAAAAATATCTTTATCAATTGAAGGCATTTGTCAAAACTTTAGGAACTTTTTGCATCAAACTTTTTTAGGGTAAATCTATGGTATAAGTCAAAGCAGTTATACTGTTAGTAGTGATTAGAATTCTGCCCTCTGACCATTGTCCTGGGTTTGATCTAGTCTGTTGTCACATCAAGGGTTTCTATTTGGGACTATTAAATTTTTTCCAGTCGCCAGAGGAATCAATTTGGTCACTCAAAAGATTTTTTCTTCTTTTAGGCATTTCAGGCTATGTATCTAGTAACTTTTATAGAAAAATTGGTGGAACCAACTGGGTGTGGAATGTTGTCTTGACAACCAGTATTTTTTCAGGTAGGTTTTTTATATGGACTGTCCACATGTTTCAAAACTAAGTCATGTGATTTGATTGAATTTTACAATTTGCCTAGATAATTGAAACATACTGTTGAAGATAGCAAGTCATGATTGTAATTTACTGTTACTTCTTTTCCTTTAGTGCCATTCTTTATGATCTGGAGTGTCATTAACTCAACAGCCTGGTATTATCAGTCCACGCAAGCTCTTCCATACACCACTATAATTCTCCTGATGCTCATCTGGCTCATTGGTTAGTTCTCATATTCAAGACACGCACACTCTACACTGAGGCTTTAAAAAAAGTTTGCCCTTCCCCCATTTTCTTCTTGCCCCTTGTCTTCCAGTGTCTGTTCCCACCCTCTACTCTTGCAATGTTTTCCAGAAATCTCAAAGTACCCTGCCTTAAAACACACACACACACACACACACATACATGAGCCATCAAAGATTAATTACAAATTAATCATCTGAAGGCCTAAGCTATCCGTTTTTGGACTTTGGTCAACCATTTAAATTTTTTGCCATCCGTTTAAGCGATTATGGAAACTGTTTAAATGCCTGAGTTAGCCATTTAGTATCCGTTTAAAACTGTTTTTCTAGGCTGTTTAACAAAGTGCTAGTTTCCGTTTTCCCATGGAGGGTCACATTTATTCCAGGTCAAGACAGCTATTATATACAGCAGTAATATTGTATTATCAACTGAGTTGATATCAAAAATTGGCCACCATAAGGAGTTTGAAAGCTGATGTTTTGAGTGTTATTTGTTACTCAGTCGATAATACTAAATTAACCTGTTATACTCCTCCACGAACGAAGCACCACAGTTTCTTTAGAAACTTGCCCCTTTTATCCTACAGCTTTGTCTAGTTAAATAGCCAGTGCTTCAGGATTGGGTACCCTTTCTTTCCCATTCCTTCCCTTGCTTAATTTTGATTCTGATCACTTTCCTTGTCCTTCAAGTGTCTCTTTGGAAATTGTCTGAAAGAGGAACCAAACATACTTTTGTTTTAGGTCCTGGTCTCTCAGCACCGTTGTCAACCATAGATGTATTGTGTTTATTGTTGCTTACAGTTGTTTCCAATGAAAATTATGAGTGTGGCTGACTTGATCAAAGCTTCACATGGAAGATGTTTCAAACAATGACTTGTTGTCAAGAACTAAGATCCAAGTTTTCCCAAATCAAAACAGTTCAACTGACTGCTTGACTGCTTTTCCCTGTGATAGTTACACTTTTATGGAAAAATATGCATTAGTTGTTTAAAATGTTACTTAGAAATTTGTAATTACCTGTAGATGAATGTTCTATGTTTGGATTGCTTTTCTTAAAGTTGGTTTCCCGTTAACCATTCTTGGTGGGATATTTGGCAAGAACTGGGCAGGAAGCTTCAATGCCCCATGCAGAACTAAGAACATTCCCAGAGAGATTCCTCAGATACCATGGTAACACTTCAATCAGTTATTCTTTTTAGTAAGGACCATTTCCCATAAGATCATTTCCCTTAGCTCACTTGTTCTTAATTGTGAATGTGAGCCAAATTGGATTCATCAAGAGCTACATCATGCTTATCTGCTATTTCTTACAGTTTTCTTGACAGTTTTCTTTGTTTAATAATTTGCTTAAATTTGTTTTGAATTTTTTGTGAGCTTCCAGTAACTTTGCATCCAAAATTTTTTTTTGGTTCAGCATTTTGTTGGACTTAAGTCTGTCTTAAGTATTTAACCTAACATTATGACATAGCTTTTGTCCTCTTTTACATTCCTTATGGTGTTTTACTCCTTGTGTAGATAGTTAACCCTTTAACTCCCATGAGAGACCAAGACAGAATTTCTCCTTACAATATCAAAACAATATCAACCAAATGAGTGCTTAGAATAGAGAAAAATATCAATCTGCGGATAATTAATTGATCCAATACAAAATTCTTTGAACTAACATTATAAGAATTGTATGGTTTACAGTAAGGAGAATTACAGATTCGATCATTTCCTTTCTTCCAGGTATCGTAGCACATTGGTGAGGATGGTTGTAGGGGGTTTCTTACCATTCAGGTTTGTTTGTTTATTTGCCTGTTTGTTTGCAAGGATTTGTGTAGTGTCACTGCTAGCCCTTTACACCCTAAAATCAAAATGCATATTCTCCATACTGTTCTCTACATGTTTCCTAAGTTGCTGACAAGGAGAACTTGTTAAATAATCAAGAGCTTCTTTAGTTGGTGATCATTGTCTTAATTCTTGTTACCTTAATATTGAATTCAGGGGCAATATTGTATGGAGAAGTTAGATGCCAATCAGTTTTAGGGGTCAAAGGGCTAAGATAATAAAACAATGTGGTACCCAAAATGATATGCTTCTTGTTCTGTGCTTGTTTTGGCCTAAAGCCCAAAGAGTGTAATATCAGCAAGGTTTATTTAGTAAGGTCACACTTTCTTTTAAGCTCTGGATGTTTGAGCTTAAAAAAAAGTGTACTTTACTACATACAGTATCACTTTTAACTTTACCTTAGCTTTTGTGATCCTTCAAAATCTGCGCAATGAATATTAATTTCTCATAGAAGCAGGAATTTTTTGATCAGGCTTGCGGAAAGTTGAGTGAAACAAAATTTCACTCATATATTGCATTTGTGTGAATAACACGAGATAAATCTAATGGCAAAAACTTGCAAGTACTCTTTTTATTGCATGCTTGGAACTACATACACATGAAGCGCAGGTAATTCCTCCTCATTACACACTCCTGAGAGCGTGTTTAGGTACTATGGTGAGAGGAGGCCACACCTGATTCAACATGAATTATTAATAATATTATTGTGGAAACTTTCTTTGCAGTGCAATCTCTGTGGAGCTGTACTACATCTTTGCCACACTGTGGGGCCGTGAACAGTACACCTTGTATGGAATACTTTTCATAGTGTTTGTTATCCTTCTGAATGTCACAGCCTGTATCTCCATTGCTCTGACATACTTTCAGCTTTCGAGTGAAGACTATCGCTGGTGGTGGCGTTCACTTATGTGTGGAGGGTGAGGCAATTTGTTGCATGATTTTAAAACTTTTTTGCAGATACGTGTTCTATTACTACTATTTTCTATCAATAACTCAGAGGTATAGAACACCATGAAAGGTGCAGCAGCAAGCCATGCAAGTCCTTTCTGCTACAGACCCACCTACCCATCATCCCCACCAAGACTCCTCAAAGGTTTCTAATGCTTATCTAGACATGTACTGCTTGCAGTGCTCATGATAAAAAGGGAAAAGGTTTGAGAAGCATGATTTTTAGAGGTTAAAAAAGTATAAAAATGAAGAAATTTTGGCACACAAGGTATAGAAGGCACAGGAATTAGCAGATTCCAGACCATTTTTTTTTTAGGATTTGTATAAAATATCTATACAAAGCTCTATGTGAATCTGTGACCTGTGTTGTCCTGAAACTTATTGACAGAAACATGCATTTGAAAAATCTCAAGTGTTTTTTACTTTATGTTAAGTACTTAACTGTTTGTTATGTTAAGATACTTCTTAATTTGTCATGTTTTGTGTTGTTGCAATGAGTTGTTTTAATGTCCTCTGTGAGTCAGACCGTTCTTAAGTTTCCTTTACTTGTTTCTTTTAGGTCTACATCTATTTTTGTGTTTGGTTATGCTATGTTTTACTACTACAAGAGGTCCAACATGTCCGGAATGCTTCAGTCTGTACAGTTTTTTGGATACACGCTGCTGACATGCTATGTGTTCTTCCTGATGCTCAGCACTGTGGCTTTCTTTGCCTCCTTAAAGTTTATAAGATACATATATGTCAACCTGAAGATGGACTAACTCAGATCAAATCAAGGATGGGAAGTTGGGACAATTTGAAGCAGCACAATCCACAAATTGCATGGACCTATGTGTAGAACTAATATGAACTTTGTTTGATGAGAGCACCAAAGAGTGTTTGGGTTTTTTCAAGCTGTGTAAGCATACGATACTAAGCTATTAAATTTTGCCAGAAGTGGATTAACTTTTCATTCCCAAGATCTGAAATAAATGTTGACTGAGAATTTAGCGTTTTATCAAGGCAGAATTTCTCAATCGATCATCTCTTTATTTCCAAGAGCAGTCACACCTGGAAGGGAAAGAAGTTAGTGCAGAAACTTGGTGGTGTTGTAACATTTTGAGGTACACATCCTGGTGTATTTATTGTTGGTCAAAGCTGACTAGCTATGCCAATTTATCTCATGATCAAATTCCAAGTAATCACCATCATTATTACTTCTGAATTTTCCTCCACTTTTCTCATGAATTTTTAACATAAATAGAGATATCTCTTTGTTTATTTTTGAATTTCAAAGTTAAACCCAACCAGACCCTAGTTATAGAGAGCACCCTTAAACTAGGGGCACTCCTCTTTTAGGCCTCAGTTTGCAAAGAGAGTACAAAAGTCAAATGAAAACCTTGAAAGAATATGGGTTGCAAAGTGGACAAGGAAGAGTTCATGGTTTAAGCCCCATATCAATTTTTTTCTTAGTTTATTATTTATGTTAAGGAGCATATAGTCACCCACATCTTTTGTAATGATTTAACATGAATTAAATGCCACTTTATTTGTGTTAACCCTTTAACTCCCAGATCAAATTTGTAATTTTCCTTACTGTCAAACATACAATTCTTATAAAGTTAGTTCAGAGAATTTAGTACTGGATCAACTAGGTATCCCCAAATTGATATTTTTCTTTATTCTCGTCTCTTATCTGGTCAATATTGTATCAATATTGTATGGAGAAATTCTGCCTTGGTCACCCATGGGGGTTAAAGGGTTAAAGGATATGTGGATGATTATATGTCGACTTGATATGTATTAAGTGATATAATTATAATTCATATTACATGACTGTATGATATTGTAAAATATTGGGTTGATCATTTGCTAACCCAGCATGCACTAAGTGGCTTATAATTCATGTGTTACTATTCGACAATTATAACATAAGCGTGGGATTTCTGGTTGGTGATGGTTGCTAAGGGCATAGCCTCCATTAATTTTTATGTATGGGAACCAAGAGCAAATAATATAATTGTTTTAGTATCATTTTACTAGATGTTCAATACTCAGCATCAAGAAATGCCTATGATTTTGTTTTATTTTGTTTAAAACCTCACTTCATTAGGCTAATAATATCACAGATAATATAGTAAACTAGAATATACACACGCTTTGATTGGTTTTACTCATGATCTAATGTTAACTGTATTTAGCATTTTAATTCTCCCTTCAGCTGCTACACATCTCTTTGTAAATCAGTTGTGAGAATTTAGTGCTAGATCAAGATAACTTCCACCTGATAAGTTGGAGTCTTCTCAATACCTGTTTGCAGGATAATGTATGAATATTATAGAGAGAAGTTCTGTGTTAATCACTTCAGGGAGTTAAAGGGTTAAAAAAAATAATAAATAGAAAGTAGTGCATCCAATCACACTGTAGTGTTTGTAATAGAGCACTAATAGATTTATAATAGCATGAAAGTATGTGGATGATTTATTATTCCTCTACATAAATTGTATGATCTTTTCTTCATTGTTCACACTGTAATTTCTCTGCTCACTTGATATGGATTTAACTTATAGAAAAGGAATTCTTACATTGGGGTAATATAAAATTGTTATCAATGATACTTAATTAGATTGCTGTTAAGGATTTGATGAGCCAATTACTAGAGAGTTAAGACTATTTTAATGCATCTAGAGTTCATAAGTTTCAATTAGACAATCAACAGAAATCTCAGATATCAATATCTCTTAGTACAGTGTAATTTGGCTTGAGTTGCTGTAGATTAAAATGAGTTTACAGTCATTCATTGTTAATTCTCTCTTAAAATGGAAGTAGGGTATCTTGTTCATCCAAGGATGTCTGCTGTTTCCAGCCAACCCTTTGACAGAATTGTACCCCCACAACAGGCAAATTGCACAGTTCAGCCAGAAGCCCGAATTCCAGGCACTTTGAAAAAAGGAGGCTGGGTAGAAAGGGGGGAATCATTAACCCTTTACACCCTAACATCAGTATGCATACTCTTCTCACTATTCTCGATACATTTCCTAATGTGCTGGTAAGGAGAATTTGTTTAACAATCAAGAGTTTCTTCAGTTGATCATCATTTCCTTTATTCTCATGACCTTAATGTTTGATTCAGGGGTGATATTGAAAGGAGAAAGTAGATGTTAATCACTCTAAGGGATTAAAGGGTTAACTACCCAGTAAACTCTACAACTCTGCAAATAAGGCCTAAGTGAGACTTGAAAACTTTTCTTGGGTAGACTGAGATCAGACTAAAGTTAAGGTCTTAAAGATGTTTTATTGAAGGCTCTGGTTTACAGTAAACATAACTCCTTTATTGCCAACTTCGTTACTTGGTACAATGTTCCTTACTCTGTGCGAATTCCCTCTAAAAGCCACTAACACTTTCAATTATTCTGCTATACAGTGAAAGCCATGTTTATGATCACGTTTGAAAGAAATTATCAGTCAAATGAGTCATAAAAAATTGTAGAGATAAATATTCAGACCACTGCTCCAAGAACCCAACACTCTATCTCTGGTTAGAAATTAAGCCCAAACATTTTGGTCTAGTGTCAACAACTTTGAGAACTATATCAATCTGGCCCTTTCAACATGAATAAAAAAGGGGCGAGTTTCTAATTAAACTCTAAATAAAGTTTCTGACAAAGGCCTGATGCTTGAAACTGGCCAATTTATGGTTACAGATAGGTACAGGAAACTGTAAGTAGGAAAGATTTTACCCTTTCAATCCCAAGATCTCATTAGTAATTATCCTTCTCATTAGTAATTATCCTTCTTGTTTGCGATAAAATTGTCTTGATGTTAGTTCTGAGAGTTTGGTATTGGATCAGCTAATTATCCCCTAATTGATATTTTTCTCAATTCTCATCACTTGTCAGCTTGATTTTGTATTGATATTATCAGGAGAAACTCTGTCTTGGTCACTCATGGAAGTTAAAGGGTCAACACTTTGCAGAGGCATGACTCTGAATAACACAGCATCCTATGAGGAGATGGTGGGAGGGAGAAAGGAGATGAACTCCAAGTGAACAGCTGAATAGCACTTGGCTATATGTGTCCCAGGGTTCCAGTGCAAACTATATTGAAAGCATTAGATGACAACCTTGTTTACTGTAAATATATATTTATATATATACATCTTTGCTATCAGTATGTACAGATCATCAATGTAGTTTTACACTTTGTCGTACTAAACAAAAAGATCTAATTAACACCTGGGCTTACATTTGAAGGAACACTTGCTAAAACCACAAAAATCAGGATCAAAGGCTTAAAATGACCAAACCTAATCATTGAGCTGTCAAAGGCAAATGTTTGTTTCATTTTTATTTTGGAACAGATGGTTTAATAAAAAGACTTGCCTTACTCAAACATTGTTCACACCTGATAATATAATGGACAACATCAGATTGCATTGTTCAAAATGTTCAAATCTGATCAAATTATAACAACCCAGTAAGTTATCTAGAACTCCAGTGAACTATAAAATATTCTAAATTTGAACAAACTATCATTATTAAATGACATTCCTTTTTATAATGAATTATAACGAGAGTTTGGAAAAACTCTGAGAAAAAGCATAGAATAACAACGAAAATAAAAGAAGTGTTTGTCTCGCGATATTGCCAATTCTGATGTAGATCCTTTAAACTTCAACTGCAGAGTACTGATCTTTTTCAGGCAATGGCTTTCACTAGTTAAGCATGATATTTGTTTGGTTCAATTTGACATGGGTCGTTTCCAACTAGTGGATATATTGGAAGCAACTGCATTCCACTTCTACAAAATCAGCTTTATAAGTCTGGCTGTAAAATAATACTTATTTCTCCTGTTCAACCTCTTTAACTGGAATTTTCTTTCTTGGTCTTGAATGACTGTTGGGCTTCAATGCACTTTGTCTTTTTTCCCACAGATCTGGGCGATATGTTGTAAATTTTTCTCTTGTAACTTTCTGTACCATAAATAGAGGAGCCTTCAAAGCACTGTCAAAATGAAGATATAATCACATCAATTAGTAAGATTCCAGATCAGTAACAACGTTTTTTCCCACCAATTAAAGCACATTTTGTGAAGCTCCATTTGGAACTGATTTGTTCCTCTTTCTGAAGCTGTAGAATGTTTTGGGAAGTGTTTGTTTTAGATGGAAAGAACAATGTTGATGTTATTCCACTAATGTAGCTTCAAAGAAAGAGAAAATTAGCTGCCCACACACCCTGTAGCAGCTTGAAACAAACTGATTTTTGTCAGTATTTCAGGTTGATGTAAAACATTTTTAGATGGCTTTAAAAATGTTTTTCAGATGCTTTTGGAAAATGTTGAATATGAAGCACTATGATTTAAGAACATACTTCAATTCTTAAATATAAATTGACTAATTCAGTTTTAATTTTGGTTTATTAATATTCATATTTTTGATTTTCTGGACTTTTGATTATCCAGGATATTTGGTCCAATCCCTACAAGTTTGGATAATTGGGGGTTGAATGTAGTTATGAGAATCTGATTGAAGAAAAATTCCCTTAAAAAGTGTAAAATTTCTTCATTTCTTTCCTTCTCTCAGTTCTATGCTTTGTTTTCATTATGGGCACACAAAATCACCAGCTGAGCTAGACAAACAACAACAATGAACTGTTTGTAGCAGAGAACATTCATGAAAGGGAGGTAAAGCTTACCTTTCTTCACTACTTTCTTTACTTCCATTAATCTGCAAATGAAAGTGTCAAACTCAAAACAGTGCTGCCATAACTTGAAAATTTATCTATCAACTTATATAGCACAGATTTCAATTGAGGTATTTTCATCTCTTCTGGCCCTATGTTTCTTGCCCTTACATAGACAAACACCTAGGTACACATTGAAATTCTGTGCCAGGAAGCATTTCGGCATGGAATAATCAAACTAGTTCTACGTGCTGTTCAATGATATCCGATTACGTAATTTTTGGGCATCAAGTACACAGATTGTCGAATAAAAACAATGTCTGATAAGAGATTGATGACCACGAATCCCTGTGAAAATCATTAACAACTAAATGCCAAAGCCGAAGTTTGTACTAAGGTATTGGGTGGATGGCTCAACGTTCGAACTTTTACGGTTTGTTTACATCAAAGTCACGCGACATTACACAAAATCTAACGCCAATAAAGTAAATTGGGGGATTATTAGTTGATCCAATACCAAGTTCTACAAACAAACAACACAAAGGTATAGTTGGCAGTAAGGAGAATTACTAAAGAGATATTGGGGGCTAAAATATCTTACATGAAAAAGCACCTAAAGCTATAAAAATTGACTTACTCCATTGAGTGATTTCTCACATACAAACTCCTCTTTGGAGGGTTCCTTAGCCACTGTGACCAGTTGCAAGGGCTTCCCATTAAATTTGGTCTCCCGTGGTGCCTCTGTAACATTGTTGGAAATCTTATCCAGAAATTCTTTTAGAGTTACCTCTAAGGGGGCTAATTCAATATCTTTACAAGCATTTTCCTCCATTTGCTTGTTCAACTCCATGAGCAGGGTACAAATGAGCTTTCGTTGCGTTGACACTTTGACCTCAGCACCACACTGCTGTTTTAGTTTCTGGCTGTCGGCCGAGTTTTCGCTGGAAGATGGTTGATGAACACGCTGTAAACATCCGTTTACCGCCTTGAGGGGATTATCTTCCGTGTGTGACTTCTGCCGTTTTAATCTTTCCATAGTCTGCTCGAGTTTGGATCGATAGCTACCCTCTAATTTTTTCACCTTGTACTCAAGTTGTTTGATTTTAGCTTCCAACTTCTCCTTGTCGCTTTTCAACTCATCATTAGTCCTGCTTGACATCTCGAGTTTTTCTTGCAGGTTAACAATTTGAATTTGCAAAGCATAAGAAGATTTCTGATCTTTCCTTTGTAAGCTGCGTGCTTTTAACTGAAATTCCTCCAGAGATCTTCTCTCTTCGACAAGCTCGTTTACTCGATTCTCCCGACGTTGGAGTTCCTTATTTGCGCTTCGCAACTGATGCTCAAGTTTTATCAGCATGTCTTGATATTCCTTTCCTTGCCCCTCAAGTGTGGCTTTTTCGCCCTTTATCCTTTTTAAATCCGCCTCAAGGGCATGAATAGTGGCTGCACTCGCATCCAAGCGCGCTTTCAAAAGTGTAAATTCCCCCGGCTTTGTTGCGGGTAACACTGCAGAGTTGACCTCTAGCCGTTGCTTTTCGTGTTCTAACTCTCTTATCTTCTTCTCGCAGCTCTGTAGTTTTCCTTCAAGCTTTGAGATGTGGCTTCTGAGAATATCCATGCATTCTTTATCATTGCGTCGCAGATCCTCCTCTAATTCCAACTTCAACTGAAGGGTCTTTATTTCTTCCTCAAGCCTTGCTTTATCTTTCTCAATGGCAGCTTCCTGTCGTCTCAAACGAAGAATTAATTCTTCTTGCCAAACGTCGCTTCCACTTGATGCATCGCTAAGCTCAGTCAAACTTATGTCAGTATTTTCTACGCCCTTAATTATATCTCTAAATTCGTTTGAAACTGAGCAATCAAGCACATGATTCGGTGATCTTATCAGCGATGGGCAGCCGACTTGTTTTCGAACAACTGGGCTCCATTCCATTAAGTATGCCGAAGAGTCGGATGAACTATCTACAATTTTCAGTTCGTCGATGTTACTAGGAAGAGCAAGCGAAAATCCATTGTAACTTGCCGATCTTTTAATGGGATTTCCTCGCAGTTTCATTTGATGCGTCATGATAAAGCCGACGGACAAAGCACTTGAAGTGAGGCGAAGCGTACAACTGTATTTTTAGCTCAATAGAAGCATAGTCAAAGAGGGGACGGGAGGGGGAGTATGGTTTTTGCCCAAAGGCCCATTGTCGTAATGTATTGCTGGACTGGACTACAAAAAGTAGGATTGTGCACATTCCAGGACTTTTTGAGAACAGGGAGAAAAAGGCAAGGAATATCCTTCAGCCCTATGAGGAATATTTCAAACCCTTTAAAAGATTGCCTCAGTCATAGGTTTTTGAAATCCCTTGAGTTTTCCCCGACTAATGTAAAATTTCCTTAACTTAATGAATTAACAATTTTACAATGAAGTCCTGAGCTGAGAATGGGCTCCAACCTCCCCTCATAGTCATTCTCTCCCCTCTCAAATTTGTCCCACATACAGGGTACATGATTTAATAGTTCAAAAGACTGATTCCCTTAGAAACCAAACATCAGCTTGTTTTTTAATTTATTTACCAATATTCTGCCAATTCAACACCTTTTATAACTGTACATCTATCACCCAAAGCTCAGGCAAAACATTGTAATTCTCACACTTGTTACTTGGCTTTAAAATCTCATATACTTACTGCATAACCAAATATTTCAATTACTTTATCAAGGTAGTCTGAGTCATTATATAATAAAGAATAGTTCAAGAACACATAAACAGCGAAAGTTTCTAACGAGCCTATATCAGAAACAAAAATTATTTTCATTTGCAAATCTTCAACTACAAAAAGTGATTTTTTTGGCACTTCTGTTTCCAATGTCCATACATTATTCAACTAGAACAAAAACTTTTCAAATGCAATCTTAATCAAAAGGTGATATGGCGTCTAAATTTTCTTTCATATCATCTGATAATTCAGTGGTGGATCCAGATCTTGGGGGGGAGCCCAGTTTTTTGTTGCTTGCCCTGCCAGCTTTTCTTCCCTCTGTGATTCTTTTCTTTTTTACCCAAAATGAGGGGGGGCCTGGACCCCTCCCCTTGATCTACCACTGTAATCCAATAATGTTCAAAGCCATTGGAAAAACACTTAACCCCAGAAGTTATCAACGTATGATTGCAAAATATTATCCTCCCAATTGGCAATGAGTCTTAGTCTCTTATGGGTATAAAACTAAACTATCTTAAAACTTATTTACAAAGGAGATATGTGGAAGTTTGAAGTAAATTAATGTAAAGATGAAGGGAGTTGACAGGCAAAATAGGAAATTTGAATACTTGCAATTGTTCCAGCTACAACAATTTCAAATTACATAAACTTTAACTCTTTTACTTCAGGAGCATACCAAAGAATACTCTGACAAAACGTTCTTTAATTTTGTCAAACATCTCCTTCTGAGTGTGCACAATCTGTTCAATTTTTTCCACTATACAGGGTTGCTATACAACTGGCATTGTCACCTGCTTAGCACAGGTCAGAAAATACTGAAATTTCTCCTTGTCTGAATCAAAGTCTTCATCATTCAATTCAGTGACATTATACCCAGGGCTTGCAGAAATTCCCCTGCCTGGGTGACTTGTGCTTAATTGCACCATTGTGGTGTGATCTCCAGTCTTTGTTTTTGACCTAAAGGAAACACACCAAACTGCAGGATTGGATGACGCGCAGATGCTTTTCACAGCTGCTCCTGAAGTGGATCCGAATGCTGGCAGTGACAACGAGAATGTGGGATGCTGGTTATCAGAGTCTGCATGTGTCTGATAATACATCAAAGCACTTTGGGTCAAGGATCTCATATTTTCATGACCAAGTCTGGTTACTGATTTGGCAGTGACAACCAGCTCTAGTATTTGATGAAGCTTTATGATGTGAGAAACCCGGGTGCCCAGTGGGGCATTGTTGTCTAGATAATTTGCCAGTTGCCCCATGGTGGCAAGTTCCTGTTGAATAAAATATTGGCTATAGTCCCTTGCAAGTTTTTCACAGCCAATTTCTACTAGGCATTTGATGGCTGAATCAGGAGATAGGAATTTCTTGGCCCTAGTTTGAAGTTTCTCCAGCTGTTCTTTAGTTTCAAACTGCAACAAATCTCTAATAAAAACTGCTAATGAAGTCATGTTGGAACTGTGGACAACAGGTTGACATTTGTTATTGAACAGAGCCATACAACACATTTGCAATGAACCAGCAAGATCATCTTCATCAACGCAATCCTTCAGCAGAAGCCAAAGTCTCTCAGTAAAATCCAAATCCTTTCGAGCAAATTCTTGAAAGGTCAGGTGGGCCATTGACCCCTCGGCAAAGGTACAATCATTTGCATCCTCCTTACTCTCCTCATCATCGACCACTGGTGGAAACACATTACTGGAGTTAAGCTTGGTGAAGAATCCATCCATTTGTGAAACAACTGTTTTTTCACTGACAGCTGCAAGTGGTGGCCAAGGATAATCCTCTTCTCCTAATATCTTAAAGAAAGCATCCACTCGTACCAATTCTAGGTACAGTGAGTGTGTTGCAAGATGGACACTGCCTGGAATGTTCCTTACATGGAGAACACCATCGCAGGAATGAGGATGAGACTGGAGAGGAGAACTGACACCACTCCATGTTAACTCAACTGTAATTCGACTGTTTTCCCCATCTTGTACGCTAAAATTTGATGCGCCCATGACTTCATACAGTGCATAGCCATGGGTTTCAACATAGGTTGTCGACAAACTGGATGACAGATGATGATGTAGGAAGGAGCTGAGCTCTGGCAGATCTTCTCTAGTTGTAATCGGCTCATTCTTGCTGGTACAAATTACGTGTCTCACGGTTTTTCTACCGACAGTTCCATTTTCAGGGATCATTCCAAGGTAAATTATGCCTTGTGGATTCTTACATGTACCATCCACGCAAATCCACACTTCAGTAGGTCGCAAAGAACCTCTCAAAGCATTTGCATAGACGGAGAGGAAGTACCTGGCGGCTTCGAGTGAACATGGATGTACATTTTCCACTGACAAGAACCATTCAGTTGTACAACCTCTCGAATCGTGAATGTTGTACTTGCTCACGCCGGCATAAGATTGCAATGGCTCGCTGCCTGTAAGATAAAACACCTCTTGGGAAAGTGGTTTTCCCACAGGAACTCTTTCGTTCTTGAGCCTTGCAACCTGATGGGTTATTTCCCCGGCAGATTTTGTAGAGTCGTTGCAGTCAGCTTGTAAACTTTTGCCAACAACGAGGAAAGAGGTTGATACCTTACCGACAATTCGTCGCAGCGGATGATAGGTTTTAGAAGGTATGAACGAAATCAGAAACTCGTGCTCTGTATCACATGTCAAGAACTTCGTCTCTGTGACATTTCCAGGTTTACTATTATTTAAATTCGTGAAAATTTTTTCGAGAGAAGCGACGTCGGAATTTAACTTCTCCATTTTATAACATCGAACCAAAAACAGGCGGGAAACAGCCAGTTGGACCCAGTCCTTATCGTGCAAAACGTGATTAAAATTTTAGGGCCTGGAAGAATATGTGATCTTTCCCGGAATACATCAATGAATGAAAGTTTGCGGACCAAAATCAGAAGACAATGACAATGTTTATGCGTGTGTGTCAAAGATCTGTAGCCATAGACGGCTGCCTTCATCTTCGGCGGGCATTTCGAAAGTGTACGTGTTTCTTTGGACCATTGTCGCGGTATGTAAACAGCGCCAGTGGAACACACAGGTTTGTCATGCTGATCACTAACCATTTATAATTACCATCATATACAATCGGTGATATTTTTCATTTTTTGTCAACGATTGTAGACTTACAATGTTCTTGTAAAGGTATTCGTATAGAGGAACCTCACCATATCAAAGGACTACGCCTATTTTAGGCCTGTAATTTCATTGATCTGAGTAAGTACGTACTATCTGAATTTCACCTATAGCTGGTATCTAATCAGTTTACCCTTTACATCCTAACATCATATGATCCCAGCAGTATGCAGGACGCGTGTCATATGAACTTCGTTATGGACCTCGCTCACCGTAGAGTCTCTGTGGCTCAGTGGTAGAGCATCGGAGTGTGGAATACGAAGGTCTAAGGTTCGATTCCTCATAGGGACTCAGAATTTTTTCTTTGTCCCACGCTCGTGACAGGACGAAAAATATCTGTCTCTATCAGTACGTTTATTCTCCAACTTTTCCATTAAAAATTTCCTGTAATAATATCAAGAGGAATCTGCCAAACAATCAAGAGCTTCTTTTGGTGGTGATTA